TTATTAAGAAAAATTGGTCTATACTTAAGAATGACCCTATACTAGGAGAATTGTTACCAAACCACCCGGAAATCACATTCAGAAAAGCCCTCCCATTAAGAAACATTTTAGAACCAAATATTGTTAACCCACCGAGACAGCTCTCCTTTAATTTTAACCATAAAGGTTTTTATCTGTGTAACCGTTGCATGCTTTATGTTTAGAGTGGCATTCATAAAAAGCCGATCAAAAGTTTTCAATCTAATGTCACTGGTAAATCATATGATATACAAATGGTAATAACCTGTTACAGCACCCACGTAGTGTACCTACTTGAATGTACCTGCGGGAAGCAATATATAGGCAGAACTACAAGACGACTAAGAGACAGGCTCAGACAGCATTTAACCAACATTAAAAAAGGATATAGGGATTATTCTGTCTCAATGCATTTTCGTGTGGCCCATAATAAAAATCCACACAGTCTCAAGTTCATTAGGATAGATATCGCCAATAACCATTGGAGAGGTGTTTTTAAACGGAGAGCTGTATCGAGGTTGGAAACAAAGTGGATATACATACTACACACTTCAGCACCATCTGGCCTTGACATTGAATGGGACATTCATTGTTTTATTGACACAAGCTGATGAGAAATGTCCCAGATATCATATAATTTATAGCCACTAAGTACCGCTGAGGGGTAATGCTCCGCTGTGGCATGCACTGACATACATACTGTTTTATGTGCATATGGTGGATATACATATTATAATTATACGATCTATAATTATGAAATATTGCTTTCTTGAAAGGCTCCACTATAAAATATACTGCCCAGCATACTAATAATTTAACTAATATTTTTAGATTTTATATTATATTATATTTTAAACTTTGAGAAAGGTTATTGGAAGGTCAATTACTTCATAAGAATAAAGATATATGTGTATTGTTACCATTTCGTTTATGACAGGTCCTCTTTGTTGACCGTGTTTTTTGCTCTACTTACCCCACAAGGTAACAGGGACTAATTGGTCCATAACTGATGAACAGATACCTGTATCCATTGTGAATTAAATATCCCGTTAATAAGATTATGATGTTTACAGATGTTTATATATGTACACTTTTATGAATTTATTCCTTGTTTATTTTTATGTATTGTTTTTATCATTTGTTTTATCTTCATAACTTATATCTGCAATTTTTTATATATATTATATACTTTTTCCACATGTCTTTGTAGGATTTGGGTTGTCTACCCCTTTGTTTTATATATTTTAATTAATTTCTAATGCTCATTATATATAAGGGTTTGCACATGCCATTTAAAGATCCGCTGGCACCTGTAGTACCACAGGTGTGGCCAAGTAATTATATCTGCTTTTTTATCTATAGCTGATTTCCCATAAGTGGGTCTTCAATATTAATAAAAATTCATCTATGTATTAATAAAAGAATAGCTTAATAACTTTTCTTTACTTCTATCCTATACATTCTACTGCTTAATAACAAGCTAGCACCGAGATTATAATGTTAAGCAAAGGAGGAAGTAGAGTGATCACCTCTACACTCCTTCTGTTGATCTACCATGTGGGCAATACAAGGCTATGGAAAGCATAGGTCTTCAACAAAATGGCCACTGTTAGCACGATCTGAGCATGTGCGAACGGCCGAAGTGGTAATTACTGCTAATGGATGTGCAGGTGTCATCCCAGTATATATGAGCAGTCACTGAGGGGGCCAGCTTTCTTTGAAAACGTGCCTTAGTATGAAACATGTCAGAAAGCTGCCCTCAGTGACCTTTCTACCACGTGGACTTCATTTTTGGCCATCAGGCCACTTGCACTTTTACATGTGAGTTACATTCTTTTTAATACTTTGCACCTATTAAAACAGTGTTGCACTAAGATATTCCTTTTGTGCTTGGGCTCATTTCTTTTTGAGCCTGTCCTCTCTATGAGAATCGTCAGATGCATTTCAAGATGCAGTCTTCCTCTGGTGGTCCTTTCTGAGCATACTACACTCTTTTGGATACCTGGTTTAAAGAAGGTTTGATCCTGGTTGTTGGCTCCCTCTGGTGGTCTTCTATCAGAATTTGGTCATTCAGAAGCCTGGCTGACATGCTGTGATTCCTGTCGTTGCCCGTCAGAAAACCCGAGTCCAGATGTCCATATCCAAATGATTTCATCATTCACATGCGCATAATATAGCGCTATCTGGTTAGTGCAACTCACTGTCACACTTACCACCAGTGACACGATTATTGTCTTTCAATAATCTAATCAATAATTATCTATGAAGCATTGAATTAATGAACTACTCTCATTTATAAGATTGTATATACTTTATTTATTGCATTCTCATGTATTCAGGTATATTATTTTCATCTTAGCGCTGCATGTTATTTTTCATACAATAACTTACATTAGTGCAGATAAAAGATATGTTGTATATGTAATGAAGTAGAATGAGTAAGGGGTCACTGTGGTCCCTTTAAAGGCTCCATATACACTGGGTGTTTTGATAACACTGGTAACATTAGCTGTGTAAAGTCACATTAAAAACGCAAGTTTTTCAGCTTTTGTTAGCGTTTTTGCATTAGCGTTTAGCTGCGTTTTGCCATGTTTAGTGGTGTTTTTCCAATTTTGCGGTTGTTAATGTTTTTTTTTACAAAAAAAATATTATTTTTTGGTTTAAAAAAAGTCCAAAAATGCCTGTTTGGAGTGTTTTACAGCATTTTACCACGTTTTTACAGCTAGAAACCCACTGGTCCTGGGTTTTTTTTTTTCCATCCAAAAAACATTCATTACAATCTATGTGTGCATGGGCACATATGATAACAAGCTGGGGAGTTTTCCTGGCTGTAGAAAAAAACAACAAAAGCCAAAAACAGCAGCTGTAAAAATGTCCAGTGTGCATAAGGACTAACTCAGGAAGTTAAATAGGGTAAAAGTGAATAAAAAAGTATTGAACCTGCTCCAGGCACATGTATGCTTCAACCCCTCCACTGTAATGCACATCCTGATGCCTAGGTCAAGAACTACAGTTGTGCTCAAAAGTTTGCATACCCTTGGAGAATTGGTAATATACAATATGTATCATTTTTAAAGAAAACACGTGAGCAGACAAAAACATTCATATTCAACTGTAGGTCATAACGGAATGGCTCAATCATAAAACAGAACTTGGCAACAAGTAAAAAAATTAAATTACCCCAGTTCAAAAGTCTGCATACCCTTAGCTCTTAATAATGTGTTGGATAATGAGTGAGGAATCCCATGTCCAAATTAAGGCCGTTATCTCTTGTGTCAAATAGAATTATCATTCTTAGTTCAAAAGTTTTCCTTTCCTGAATATTTTTGAAATTTCCTTTAAGAACCCGAAGATAAAATCTACTTCAGTACAAAGAGAAAAAAACAAACAACCGTGTACCTCTAGTAACCACATACAACCCAGCACTAGAAGGAATAAGAAAAATAATCAAAGATTTACAACCCATCATAACAGAGGATGGAACTCTGAAAGAAATATTCCAGCAACCACCAATACTGGCCTTCACACAACCCCCCAACCTCAGAAATAAACTAATCAGTAGGAAACTTCCTTCTGATTATGATGTCACAAATAATGGAAGCAAACCCTGCAATAAGAAACGCTGCAAACTGTGCAACCAAATCAGTCCATCAAAAAGTGTCAGACCCTCAAAAGGAATCTTCAATATCTCCGGATCATACAGCTGCACCTCCTTAACCAGTGCAGAAAATGTAGCAAAGGATCTTGTGTTGGCGAAACAGGCCAGAAGTTGCAAACAAGGATGAATTTGCACAGACATCCCATCAAGGAACATAAAGAAGATGACTTTTACACACCTGTAGGACACCATTTCGTACAACCAGACAACACAATGGAAGACCCCAATATTTTAGTTCTTAAAGGAAATTTCAAAAATATTCAGGAAAGGAAAACATTTGAACTAAGAATGATAATTCTATTTGACACAATCTAATCTAATTTGGACATGTAATTCCTCACTCATTATCCAACAGTTGTATGACCCCCTCTGTGAGTGTTGTCCCCCCCCCCTCCCCCAGTCTTTGCTTTTGCTGTGTCTTATCTCCAGTCTAATCCTAGTCTTTTAACCATTGCTGTGTACATTTGTTTGTGTGTGTTTCTTTCTGTTTTTTTTCCTCCCCCTTTCAACATCTCTGCTAACATTCTGCTAAAACTTTGTGAAGTAGTACTGCCTGGACGTTGAAGAAGGGGACATACCCCGAAAGCTTGTCCTGAAAATTGTATGTTAGTGCAAATAAAAAAAGTATAACGTCAGTACTCAATTGTTTCTGTCGCAAGTGCACTAATACGGCTACAATCACCTCATGCAAAAGAATCCAAATTGTATGCCAGTATTTTCTGATAACATGCTGCATTCATCTTGCCATCAATTTACACAAGATTCCCCATGCCTTTAGAGTTCACGCACCCCAAAACATCAGTGAGCTGCCACCATGCTTTACAGTAGAGATGGTATTCTTGTCGCTATGGGCCTTGTTGACCCCTCTCCAAACAGAGCGCTTATGATTGTGACCATAAAGCTCTATTTTGTTCTCATCACTCCTTATTCCACTTCTTAATTAGTGATTGAACAGTACTGAATGGCATTTTCAAAGCTTTGGATCTCATTTTATTTCTTTTTCCATCTGTACAAAGTTTCATTAGCTTGTTACACAGGTCTTTTGACAGTTCTTTTCTGCTACCCATGACCCAGTATCTAGCCTGCTCAATGCATCCATGTGAAAGCTAACAAACTCATTGACCTTTAATACACCGACACTAATTGCAATTTAAACAGCCACAGATGTAGGAGATTACTGTTTAACCTCCCTGGCGGTATTCCCGAGTGTAGCTCGGGGTAAAGTTTCAGTGCCAAAAGCGGTAACCCCGAGCTACACTCGGGAATACCATGCAGCGTTGCTCAGGGATTCCTTGCAGCACTTACCTTGTCCTTCGCTCCCGCAATTTGTCCCCTGCAGCATCCCCGGCCATCTCCACTGGCCGATGCCGGCATCCGTCTTCTGTGTTCTGGTCCCTGCGAGAGTCGGGACATACAGGACGTGCGGGGCCGGAACCAGCGGGAAATTTGAAAATGTTAAAAACTGACATTTTCTAATAAACTAAAATCACATAATAAAACACTACTGTTTCAAAGCATTTCACATACATTTTGTCCCTACTGCTTTGTCCTGTGCCCTGACTGCATTTTTACTGTTCTTTCTGCCTGGAAACTGAGAAATGTCCATGGCGTCCAAAAAGCGTCCCTTTAGGTCAAAAGCGGTTTTAGACCGGCTACAATACAATGATAGTAAATCAGAACCACCTGCAGAATTGAGTGATAATGATTTGTGGGGAAATTTGTCATCAGACACTGAAAGCAATTCTCCGACTGAGCTCAGCGATGTACGAACTTGGCGCTATACTGTGAATGTTTACATGTTATGTGCAATTAAACCATGGCAACATCTAATGTTTGTGTAGTATTATGTTCAGCAGACTGTGTTCTTCTATTGTTGTGACTTAGATGACGTTCAGAGCACATTTTATGCCCAATTCATGCAAAACTCCACGTAATCCCAAGGGGTTCACATACTTTTTCTTGCAACTGTATAACTCCAACTTATGCACATTTGTTTGAAGCTAACTATCCCCCACTGTTTCAGGAAATTTACACTCTCCTAAATCCGTGGGATGCCTGTAAGGTATCTTTCTTGGGCAGGGTGAATGTGTTAAAGATGTTTATTTTGCCAAAGTTACTTTACCTTTTTGAAACTCTCCCAGTGGCAATACCACAAATTCAACTGCAAACTTTAAAATGAGCGTTTCTTAGATTTATTTGGCATAGCAGAAAGCCTCGAATAGCGAAATCAGTTCTTCTGACACCTAAAGATAATGGAAGCCTAGGGGTACTGGATATTATCAAATACTATTTAGCCATTCACTTGAGACAGATGCTATCATGGTTCACCCAAAATCCCCAGAACAGATGGACGGAGATTGAATTAAGATATATTTATCCAATCCACACATGTTCATTGCTACGCCCTTTTCATTATACATTACCCCTATCCCCTCCCCCGTCTTTGCTTGAATCTATGAAATTCACCCTCAAAATGTGGTCGGGCTGTGTGAAATCCTAGCAGTTATTGTCCATATGTTCTCCATTGTTGAATGTTTTGTATAATTCGGAGCTCCCAGATAGTTTGTCTTACCCACAGATGATGTCAGGGCTCCAGGGTATGACCAGAGGTATGTGAGCTGATGCAGGGAAACGCAGGCTTCAGATATGTTATAACAATAAGACAATTTATTAAAGACTAACAATACAAACATAAACGCAGTGCAATACTAAAACATAACACAGTGCAAACGAACCAAACCACCCACAGATAACAATATATACAATGCAAGCGTCATCAGGCAGGCCGGGTCAATAACAATCGGGCAGGTAGGAACAGGAGGAGCAGGCAGAGAGTAGTCAGGTCACGAGCCGGGTACAGCAACTAATGGGCAGGTAGGTACAGGGGGTCAGGCAGAGAATGGTCGGGGTCACAAGCCAGGGATCAAACAGGAGAAGTCAGCAGAGGTCCGGATCAGGCAGGGTCAGCAACGAATCAGTCAGACAGGGACAGGGACAGGAACAGGAACAGGGATGCAGGTAACAAGATACAGGGGCCCATGAAAAACACACACCAAGCCCCAGACTGCAGGTCTGGCCATCCCTTAAATACACCTGCATAATCAGCTTCAGGTGTTTGGCTGGCTGCAGGGTTGAGTATCTGATTGCTGGGAGCACCTGCTGGCCAGCCCTGGTACTGCAGCCCACAAGGCAGGTGAGTCCCACCATTACTGGCAAGTCCATTCCTGACAGATGAGCTCTTGGGTAATTAGTGGGATATTTCAACTCCGTCACCTGATTAATGTGGTTTCACACAGGATTCGGTCATTTGAGGAGCTTAGGGCATGGAAATCCACATTACCTGTATCAGCCAGATATACCTATTTGCAGTTCCATCATTATTTCCATACCTTGAATTCTTCTCTGACTCTAAACCGCCCCAAAGAATTTGAGAGGATGGAGGCTAAAGGTCCCTCCCAACAATATCTTGTTACCTCTCTATATAAAACTACTCCTCAATAAAGGCTCTCTCTTGTTGATAATCCCCACCGTTATATGAAGAGATGGGAAGACGAACTTCAATGCCCAATCTCTCTGAAATGTTGGCAGATGATTTAGGACTCTGTTACTAAGACCTCTTGTTGTGTTGTGTACAAAGAAAATTTATATAAAATATTGATGCATTGGTACAAAACCCTTGTAGTACTTCATGTGATTAATCCTAGTCTGTCTGACAGGTGCTGGAGGTGCATGGGAGGAGTAGGCACCTTCACACACATTATTTGGTTATGTCCACAGATTGCAGGTTATTGGGCTATGGTTAAAACGGTACTCAATGTTACCCTTCCCCTAGACCCGTTACACTCTCTTTGGGGCTACCATTTAGGGGTATTTCTAATCAATATAAGAGGTTGGGAATACATATTCTGACGGCTGCTAGACAGGTGATACCACAATTCTGGAAATCACTTGATGTCTCCACACTAAATCATCTTTTAAGAGCGATCCCTAAAATCAGAGAAATGGAATATCTTACAGCTCTAGTGGGTGACTACTCAGGTAATTTTCGATCTATTTGGGTACCATGGGATCACTCTCCCTTTGATAGAATTTCTTCCCCCCCCTCCCCCCCCCCCCTTATTTAGCTCAGACATCTTTTTACTTACCAAGCTTCTGACAACTACTGTAACCCAGCAATGTGCAGGTTTATGTCATCTTGTGTTTCTGTACTGTACAGTTTACCATGCTGTCTAATTATGTTCATATTTCTTTTGTTTCTGTTCTCTTTTATATTGATTGTGGATTTTCTCTACTGCAACGTTCACACCTAAAGTGTTGTTGTAACTTTGTTCTGGAAAAATTGGGCTTCGGCCTTTAATAAAAATGTACAATTTAAAAAAAAAGGAGCCAAACAACTTTAATAATAATAATACATGGCTTCATATGATCACTATCCTTAAATAAAAGACAGTTTCACAATTTCTACCGGGGTATGCAAACCTTTGAGCATAACTGTATGGTAGACTTGTGTCAGACAAGGAAGCAGATAGGAAGTTTGGAGTCAGGGAGAGGTAGCGCTATCGCAAGCAGAAAAGCATAGGATGATGCTGTTTAAATAAGGCAGGCCCCCTGCATCAAGGACCAAGGCGTGTAGATAGCTTTGGTACCCCACAGCTGACGGAAGCAGCTATGGGTCTGAAAAGACTTGTTAGTTGCCACTGAAGGGCGTGATTATGAGTCTGAGAAGACTTATTAACCTGCAGCCAAAGCAAGAAGCTGGAAAGCTGTCTAACATCCACTTCCAATGCCAGATATGCCTGCCTGTACATTAATTGTGACAGATTTGTAATGTATAACTGCCACATTTTGTATGTCTGTGGAAATGTAAAACATTCTGTGTTTAATAAGGGATGGTCTTATAAATGTTGATGAATCTAACATTTGCTCTGTTTGTGCCATAAAAATCTCATCATAAACAGGGTGTTTCTACATGTGGTTTCTATAAAGGATACTACTTGTAACCACACCCACTATTTCTCCATTATCATAGATTTCAAGTCATCTAGTATGGATTTCTCTTTAGCAAGGTGAACAGAGAACTGCAAAATAGTAACATCAATATCACTCAAAATCTCACGAGACTAGCAGCCAGAGGCAGATGAGCTTACACTGCCAACATACAGCTAGAAGGCTCCAGGCACACAATGTGCATTGCTATTTATTAGGAGGATTTGAAGACGAAAAGGTAAAACTTTCATGGCTTAGGCACAATTACCATTTCTAGATGTTCTCTATAAATTATTACTTTTACTTTCTGAATTTAGTTCCACTTTATCTACATAATAAATACATACATTCTTTACAATATATAATTTGTTTCTAAGACCAACAATTCCAACTCACTGGACAAACAGCAGGTCTAAACATAATCTCAGCATGCACCACAACACAACTATTGTGTAGTTTAAAGTGTGTAGTGTATTTTCTTTTTTTTGTACTTGCTATACATATGTTTTATTCCTTTATTATAAATTTTTTTTGTACTTTTAGGTAAAATGTCTTACAGTTAAATGTTGCTTTTTTAAGTCAAATTGGTGCTCATAATTCTAAAGTTCCTCTGTCATCCTTCTACATAGTAATAGTAAAATTATACTCTTCTTTTAGTATTCAAGTTATCCAAAATACTGCTCTATTAATAGATAATTCTATGTTCAATCATTCCGATTTATTTCACCATTATTCGGCAATTTAAGCTTGTAAACAAGAAAGAGTTATAACATAAAAAATATTTTATTGTATAGGCAAGAGATTGTGCTTGATTTTTTTTCTACACTATATTGTCAAGAGTATTGGGACGCCTGACTTTACACACACATGAACTTTAATGGCATTCCAGCCTTAGTCCGTAGGGTTCAATATTGAGTTGACCCGCCCTTTGCGACTATAACAGCTTTAATCTTTCGCGGAAGGCTGTCTACAAGGTTTAGGAGTGTGTCTATGGGAATGTTTGACCATTCTTCCAGAAGCACATTTGTGAAGTCAGGCACTGATGTCGGCCGAGAAGACCTAGCTCACAGTCTCTGCTCTAATTTATCCCAAAGGTGTTCTATTGGGTTCAGGTCAAGACACTGTGCAGGCCAGTCAAGTTCCTTCACACCAAACTCGCTCATCCATGTCTTTATGGACCTTGCTTTCTGTACTAATGTGTATTCATGTTGGAATAGGAGGAGGCTATCCCTAAACTGTTCCCACAAAGCTGGGAGCATGAAATTGTACAAAATGTCTTCTCTTCCCCAAAATGAGTTCCCTTCACTGGAACTAAGCGGCCAAGCCTTTACACACACATGAAGTTTAATGGCATCCCAGTCTTAGTCCGTAGGGTTCAATATTGAGTTGGCCCACGCTTTGCAGCTATAACAGCTTCAACTCTTCTGAGAAGGCTGTCCACAAGGTTTAGGAGTGTGTCTATGGGAATGTTTGACCATTCTTCCAGAAGTGCATTTGTGAGGTCAGGCACTTATGTCGGATGAGAAGACCTGGCTCACAGTCTCCGCTCTAATTCGTCCCAAAGGTGTTCTATCGGGTTGAGGTCAGGACTCGCTCATCCATATCTTTATGGACCGTGCTTTGTGCCTTGGTGTGTATTCATGTTGGAACAAGAAAAGGCCATCCCTAAACTGTTCCCACAAATCTGGGAGCATGAAATTGTCCAAATC